TGTGTGTGTGTGTGTGTGTGTGTGTGTGTGTGTGTGTCACTGCTCGTTCTGCTGTGTGTCTGTGATGGTGGACACGGCTCCTTGTCCTTTGCTGACGTCACTGATACACGCCCACTGACCGTCCATGGACTCCTTCCACAGCGTGACCTGCAGAGAGAACACACGTCACAGGAAGTGAAGGCGGTGAACATCCGCTTAGTTTAAACTCAGGTCCCCTTGTCCTGCACCTCTGAATGAGTTTCTTTACAAAACATTTAATACTGGACTTGTTTCTTTACAGGGTTTGTATGAAGGTAATAAAGTAGTTTATGAATATGAGATATGACTTTATAGATGATTATAATCCCTCCTCTCTGGAGTGGAGGTTAGTTTATGGAGTTTAATCGGTTTCACTCGTCATCTCTTTAGTTAGTTCTTCTTCTGGTGTTTCAGATAATAAAGTAACAAATAGCACGTTGACCACTAACTCCTCCACTAACTGAACTCCTTGGTGTACCTTGTTGTCTCCTCCACTAACTGAACTCCTTGGTGTACCTTGTTGTCTCCTCCACTAACTGAACTCCTTGGTGTACCTTGTTGTCTCCTCCAGACACAGCGAGGATGTTCCCGGTGATGGACCAGCTGACGTGCCAAACCACGTCGTTGAACTTGTGGAGCAGTTTGGCCGTCCAGGTGTTTCCCGCCGGGTCGTCACACGTCCAGATGAACACACGTCCGTCCTGCAGGAAAGGAGACGAGGAAACAAAAATGTCCCGTACTTCATCAGTACTTAGGTACTTTATTTTGAAGGATGATTTCAGTAGCTTTAAGTCTGGACTCTATCTTCTTCATGTGTTTGAGAAGGAGACACAATTAAACAGTTTTTTAGATACGGAGGGTGCGTTTGTAAATATCCACCCCGAGCTCTGGAGAACACTGGGACACTCGGAGCGATGTGAACGGATTAAAGCTTCTCCTTTACCATCTAATAAAACGTTGAGCTGACTGTGTTACACGTTAACTTCTAACATTAGCTATAGTCTCTCATATCTCATCATCATCACCGGATGAACAAGCTCCTTCACAAGAGACACCGGTTAGTTTCAGAAGGAGGAAGAGAGCTTTTCTTTCATCATCTTTAGTTCTTTCATACAGAAATAAAACACTTTGATTCTTTAAGCACCAATGCTGTGATCATAGTGTCGAGCTTCAGCTTCCTCTGTAGATCAGTAGAACATTACTGCTTCATATCATTTGAACATTTAAAACATTAACGTATTTAAACACTAACTACAAGTTACTTCATGAATGTAGAGTAAAAAGAACACAATATCTCTCTGAGGTGTCGTGGAGGAGAAGTAGAAAATACTCCAGTAAGGTACAAGTATGTTGAATTTGAACTTAAGTGCAGTACTTGAGTAAATGTACTTAGTTACATTCCACCATTGAAATCATGAAGCACAGATGAAGATGACAGCAGGTGTGTTTGTTCAGTCGGTCTCTGTGATCTCTGGCTCCACCTGGTGGTTCACAGCGGAGCAGCGTGAAGCTCAGGCGAGTCTCACCTGAGAGCAGCTGGCGATGGTGCTGGTGGGGAGACCGATGGACGGAGCCCAGCCGACGTCTCTCACCCAATCACTGTGAGCCTCCAGCTTCTGGTCCTCCTTCCACTGACCGTCCTCCTCTCTGTAGACAATCAAAGTCAAATGTGTTTTATTTCATTCTATATTATATTTGTTTTCCCTTTATTTAAACTTGATTCTCTGTTCATTGATCATTAGTGAGCGTTGTTGGAGGGACCCTGAGACGCTTGTGAACATAATAAACAGATGAATTAAAGTTAAACTCACTTCCACAGCTTTACCAGGTTGTCACAGCCTCCGGAGACGAAGCGTTTCACACAGTTTGGTTTCTGACCTGACGGCTGATCGATGAGACTCCCGGGAACGACCGCCGGAGCCCAACTCACCGCGTTACAGCCGATCTGGAACAAGAGAACCGGAGTTAATAAAGCTGTGAATCAGCACGAGACGGAGTAAAGAACGGCGTTCATAAACATTCTGGATGTTATTTCACGTCACGCATTCATGGAATTAAAGAGCTGGACTCAGACGTCCTCTCAGACTCACCGTGTGGGCGTTGCTGATCTTCTTCACGTCCCACTGCTGATCTCCGGTAAATGTGAGGAGAGAAATCGCGCCGTCTGAGCTGCCGCAGGCCAGAATCAGACCGAAGTCATACGGACCCCAGCAGACCGAGTTCACTGTGGAGACACACGAGGAGATGGAACAACACTCTGACGCTGTCACCAAACACTGCAGCTTCAGATTGACTTCATGGAGGGAGAGGAGAGGTTCAACAGAATAAAAGAGCCTCCAGCTGGAGGACACACACACACACAGTGGGTTGATGTTATTTCACCCACCGGAGGACTCGTGTCCACAGTATTCATACATCTTGTCCCAGGACCCGTTCTCCTCCTTCCAGACGATGACTTTACGGTCGTAGGAGCAGGAAGCCA